AACCACAGCGACGTGAGATTGGGACAAGTGTAATGCAATTAAGGAAGTTTGGCATATAGCGAATAGATGGCGCTAATAAACAAGACAAGTAAACTGTAAGAAATGAAGTTTGACATCTAGCGAATAGATGCGCTAATAAAAATTAAATATCGAAACAAGTGACCTGTAACAAATGGAGTTTGGTACCTTTGGCATCTAGCAAATAGATGGCGCCAATACTAAGAAATTTAAATAAAAATAGATTTTTAAATTCAATTTTATTAAAGGAAATAAAAAATGCTACACTGTTTGTGTTCCAAGTTCCTGAAAATTCTCCCAGTACTGAATCCGTCGATGATCATTCTAATTATTGTCGTATTGGCATAACTACCGACGATTATATTCCTTGTTTTTCTAAAATTTAGTAGATATGCTTGTATTATATATAAATAATATACAAAAGAGGCAAACGAAAGTTTGAGGTTTATAGGTGTTTTCACTACGCACCCATGCGGTGTGTAATGGTCGCAATTAAATATAAATTTCGTACGAAATAGCGTCACATTAAAATTAATTTAAACCGCTGAAAATTTACATAATTATGAATTATTATAAGCATAAAATTAAATTGACAAGATTATAGATTTAAATTGCATCGTATTCTGGGTAGTGAGGACTCCTCGCTGAGGACATTTTCATGAAATGTCAGATAATGCTGGAATAACTGAAATCATTTTAAATGTTTAAAAATTACATTACATTTATTAAATTACATTAGTACTGCATCATGAATTTGTTTGTAGACAATATCGATTAGATTTTTAAGGTGACTATTGCCTATTCCTCTGCAACCTTTTCAGATCTATTGCGGTTTTCTTCTCATCTCTAGATTGCATTCTCTAGTCGATGCTTTTCAAAAAGTTTAACAGTTTGGAGACTGGACCCCCCATATAGCTCTTTGTCAATTACTCAGGTTCGTCAATCCCATCAGCTCTAGATGCCTATTGAGCTTGCAATGTCATGTCAGTAATCACATTTCCGTTTTGATAGTCTTCCTGTCTTTGCTTATCAAGTCTGCCGTAAATGTTTGCGAACGTTTTACTATAGACTTTTTTTTCATCTGTCTCTGTTCTAATTAATTTTTCAATTATTCTAGAGATTTGTTGACCACCTATTGTTTTATGGCCATGCAAACATAATGATTCAGGACAAAGGGTGAGAGGTTGGACACTGTTGGAATTACATGTACATTTTCTTTGTAGTCTACTATCGCAATCGACTATAATTATATGACAGACTTCTTCACAGTCATTGACAATCGCGTGACAATAAAATTATATTTTGGCAGTACATGTAAATTTACCTAAGTCAAAAAATAAGCCAGTTATTATTTTTGTTAAATGTTACTGCATTAGAATCCATGTGGAACATAGATCATAGTTGTTAACAAATTTGCGTAACCAAAAAAAAACGTTTAACATTTTAGGATAAGTTCATTCAGATTTACATCTAAATTCTATCTAAAAAACTTTCAAGAAACGTATGTGTGAAAAATCCAGTGTTATATGTCTATATACTATTTATATTGAAAAGTTTTTTTTATATGAAATATAGATAGGCACTAGTTTAGTAGAAGTAAGACTTATAACTTATATATTAAAGCGTTTTTTTTTATTTGCAGATCTGGCAGCTATTAGGAGGTTACTCGACGCCGAGAACACGACAGGCACGTGCCCTAGCTGTGAAATGCCCTTCGACAAGGGTAAAAAACGTAGACTTATCGATAACTGCGGCCACGAAAGATGTTACTCCTGTATGTTCACCAACGAAGCGTGTCCTTTATGTTCCCTCAATGGCTCTATCTCTAATTCAGGTAAAGGAATCTATATTTTAAACTAAACTTTATATTATATTATGCATTCGAATATACAGGGTGGTCTGAACTGTATTCCGAAAACTTCGGCAGCATATTCTGCAGATAAAAATAAGTAATAAAGTTCGTATAAATGTATGTCCTAAAATGCTGAGTTCTGGAGATACATGGTGTAGAAGTTTCATTTTTGTTTCGATTTTTTCCATATAATTTCTGGTGCGGAGTTTTTTGACATGAGAAATTTGATTTTGATGTCAATATGACTTTAGTAGAGGGCGCCACCATTAGTAGAGGGCGCCACCTACATATTTTTAACTGGTTTGAAGAGTAATAACTTTTTGTCCGTACCTGTTTAAAACTGCTAAGTAAAAAAATATACATTCACCACGTTTTTTACGTGAAAAAGGTCTCTTGGTAAAAATCGCTACGAGTAATCGTTTTCGAGATAGTTGGAATCGAAATTATCAATGCCTGTCATCATTAACATAAATTAAACATGCTGACTAAATAGTTATTAGACTGAAATCATAAATTTGAAATGCTTTTGTGCCAAAAGTTCAACAGAAACTGTTTTACCATCGTTTTTTGCAGAAAAATTTATGATTAATTTAAAAAAATTAAAATTTCCCAAATTTATTGTTTCAGTGAAATAACGTGTTTATTTCAACATTCAGTTATACTCAACGTGTGTTTTTTTTCGTCAATAATGACATGTATTGACTATTTCCATTCTAAATATCTTAAGAACGGTTGCTCGTAGCGATTTTTACAAAGAGATATTTTTTACGTAAAAAGACACAGAGATGTATATTCTTTCACTCGGTAGTTTTATACAGGTATGGACAAAAAGTTATTACGCTTCAAAACAGTTAAAACACATGTAGGTGGCGCCCTCTACTAGTAGGAGTCATATTGACATCAAAATCAAATTTCTCATGTCAAAAAACTCCCAGACCCCAATTTTCATCCAAATATTGACGTTATTTTAGAAATTATTTAGAAAAAATCGAAATAAAAATGAAACTTCTACACCCTGTATCTCTGAAACTAAGCATCTTAGGACATACATTTATACGAACTTTTTTACTTATTTTTATCTGCGGAATATGCTGCTGAAGGTTCCGGACCACCCTGTATATTAATTTATTCGATTCCAAATATCTTGAGATATCTATCTTCTTAGCTCCATCTACGGTAACGTGGATGAAGCAAGCATCTTGAGAACTGTTTCTCATACCGCTTATACCAAGAGACCTTTTTGTGTAAAAAACGGCGGAAATGTATATTTTTTCTCTTTTAATGTCCCATCAAAATACTCATCCAAATGTACTGTTTAAATGCCGATTTTAGTTACTTAAAATTCGTCGCTAAGCACTTACGTTACGTTTGGTTTCATATTCGCTACCAAGAATACATAAAAACCTAACCAAACTACCTAATTACAAATTGATTCATAATCACTCCTCGAATATAACTATAAGTGCCTATCTAATTTCATATTATAATAATTCTGAATCATTAATCCAAACATCAGTTTTGTCAACGAAAGTCACTTTCTTGATATATCTGATTAAAATGCTCCGGAAAACAACGAGCGCCTTCAAAATTAGGTAGATTTATGAAATAAAAATATCTATAAAAAAGTAGGTAACTCGCAAAATATTTTTTTAATTTTCTAGCTGGTTTAATCATAAAACTGTACTGTGGTTCCCCCCAAACTCAACCTTATCAATATTATTCTACTAGAAATCGAAATGTGAATATAAATTTTAAAAACAAAAAAAGATTTTAAAATGGCTGCCAATCGGATACGTGTTAAGAATGGCGGATTTCTGTGTCCGACTTAATATGAACTACCAATATACCAATTCCGACTGGCTCTCCAACATTAGTCGTCTCACACGACCGAAGTCATCAAACCGGACGACCGGCAATCGTATTATGACGTATATAATTCCAACGTACGCCACGTAACCTCACTTTGCGTTTTGCGTATCAGTGATTTGTGTATTTGTGCAACTATATTTTAGTTTTTGTTTTCTCGTTAAAAAAATGGTCAGCCACTTTTTTAAGCCTAACCTCACATGTCGGAGGAAGATGGGGTCTGCTGGTATCCTAAGCTAAAAAATGAAATTAAAATGCACCAGTGTAATACAGCATCTCTTCCGGATAAAAAGCATTTACGGGTGGAGGCAAGACATCACTACTACTATTATTATTTTGCAAAAGCCTCTACCTCTTTCTGTAAAATGTAGATGAATGTCTAAATGCCTTTTTAGTGTTTTTTTAGACACAATAAAAAATTTAAGTTTGTTTACAAAAACTTTTTATTAGGTTATGTTCATGATGTTCATTAGGTCGCAAATGCTACTTAATGGGTTGTATTTACGGACATAAATAGAGATACGTAAATTAGGTTATAAATATGAACATAAAATACAACAAAATATAATTGGACGTTACTTTAGGGATTA